GGGAGATGTTAAGTAATGATAGGACCTTTGAACCAAGTGAAAGAGTAATTGTGGTAGGGGACCGAATGCTAAAGTAGGAGAAACTTTTAAAGAGGGGGGTAGGTAAGTTTGGGTGCCAGGTGTAAATGATAATGGGAGCCCTTTAGTTAAAACTTTGTATAAGAAAGGGGTTTAGTTATAGGTAATACATATTTTTAAGAAAAAGAGGATAAATAAGTATACAAGATATGATGTAGGGCGAAATGACAGTAGTTTGTTGGATTATTATTGGAAAGATAAAAGACTGTGAGTAGACTTCAGGATGTACATGTTTATAGGGGGGCCACAGATATATCAATCACTTTCATTTGTAGCTACACTGAGAGAAAAAAGGTAGAGGGGATACAAGAGAATAGAAGCATCAGGGAAGAGAGAGGTAAAGGGTTTTTATAAACTAAAAGAGGAGGCAGTTAGGGTAAGATATAAACAGCTATTGGGGGAATAGTTTGGGGCTAATGAGAGCATAGGCAATGGGGTCAAAGAGGTATGGGGTAGGTTTAAAATGTAGTGTTAGAGTGTTCAGCAGAAGTTTGTGGTTACAGGAAAGTGGGTGCGGGAGGGAAGAGGAGCGATTGTGGAATGATGATGTGAAGAGAGTAGTAAGGGAGAAAAAGTTAGCATATGAGAAGTTTTTACAAAGTAGAAGTGATGCAAGGGGGGAAGAGTATAGGGAGAAAAAGAGAGAGGTTAAGAGAGTGGTGAAGCAATGTAAAAAGAGAGAAAATGAGAGAGGGGGTTTGATGTTATCAACAAATTTTGTTGAAAATAAGAAAAAGTTTTGGAGTGAGATTAACAAGTTAAGAAAGCCTAGAAAACCCAAATGGTTTTGTCAGTTAAAAATAGGAGAGGAGATTTTAATTAAATGGAGAGTTAGAGGTATTGGGAAGATGGAGGGAATATTTTGAGGAATTGTTAAATTTGATGAAGATAGGGAACCTGTGATTTCGTGTATGGGGGGCAAGAGGAACAACATCTTGTAGGATTTGAGGAACAGCCATTTGTGAGTGGGGGGGAATTTCCCGTGAGGCAGTAGGTAAAATGAAAGGGGTAAGCAGCCGGGATTGATGGATAAAGATGAAATGTAAAAGCAGGTGGGGAAAATGGTTTGGAGTGGTTGGTGCAATTATTTAATAAATGTATGGAAGAGGGGAAGGTACCTAGGATTGGCAGAGAGCATCATAGTTCCTTTTGTATAAAGGCAAAGGGATAAAAGAGAGTGCAAAAATTATAGGGGGATAAGTCTGTTGAGTATACCTGGCAAAGTGTATGGTAGAGTTATTATTGAAAGAATTAAGAGTAAGACGGAGAATAGAATAGCAGATGAACAAGGAGGCTTTAGGAAAGGTAGGGGGGGTGTGGACCAGGGGTTTACATGAAACATATAAGTAACAGTATTTAGATAAGGCTAAAGAGGTCTTTGTGGCATTTTTGGATTTGGAAAAGGCGTATGACAGGTGGATAGGGGGCAATGTGGCAGATGTTGCAGGTGTATGGTGTAGGGGGTGGGTTACTGAAAGCATGAAGAGTTTTTACGGGGATATGGGGCTCAATTAAAGTAGTAGGAAAGGGGGAAATTTTTTCCCAAAAAAGTAGGCCTTAAAAAGGGTTTTTTATTCACCGTGGTTTTTTTAATATTTTTATAATGGGTTTTAAGAGAAAAAATGCGAGGGCCCTTGGAAGGGGGCGTGGATTTAAAAAAAAAGATCACAAAAAAAGTGGGGTTTCACATTTGCTCTTTGCTGAGACACGGCTTTTTGGGAATTCTGAAAGAATTGCAGAGATGGTGGATGAATTTGGTAGGGTTCCCCAAAAGAAAAATTGAAAGTGAAAACGGGAAAGAGTAAGGTTTTTGAGGATGGGTTGGAAACACTGAACACTGTCTCGGGAATTCTGAAGAGAATTGCAGAGTTTGGGTGGATAAATTTTGGGTAGGGGTCAAAAGAAAAATTGAAAGTGAATACAGAAAAGTAAGTTTTGAGGAAAACAAAAGTTTGGATGAAAGATTGTATCAATTGGGGGAGAGAGTAGGGAGGAGGTGAATGTTTTCCCGATATTGGGGAGGGGAAACTGTCAGCGGATGGGTCTATTAAAGATGGGGTGATCATAGAATGATAGGGGAAAAGGTGAGTGGTGCACTTAGAGTCTGGAGAAAAGAACTTGTCCTTGGAGGCAAAGAGGGGAATGATGAGAGTATAGTTTTTACCAACGCTTTTATATGGGTGTGAAGCATGGGTGATGAATGTTGCAGCGAGGAGAAGGCTGAGCAGTGGAGATGTCATGTCTGAGAGCAAGTGTGGTGTGAATATAATGCAGAGAATTCTAGTTTGGAATTAGGGGGAGGTGCGGGATTACCAAAACTGTTGTCCAGGGGGCTGAGGAAGGTTGTTTGAGGTGGTTGGGACATGTGGAGAGAATGGAGTGAAACAGAAAACTTCAAGAGTGTATCAGTCTGTAGTGGAAGGAAGGGGGGTAGGGTCGGCCTAGGAAAGGTTGGAGGGGGGGGGTAAAGGAGGTTTTGTGTGCGGGGGGCTTGGACTTCCAACAGGCATGTTTTGAGCGGGTTTGATAGGAGTGAATGGAGACAAATGGTTTTAATACTTTACGTGCTTTTGGAGTGTGAGCAAAGTAACATTTATGAAGGGGTTCAGGGAAACCGGCAGGCCGGACTTGAGTCCTGGAGATGGGAAGTACAGTGCCTGCACTCTGAAGGAGGGGTGTTAATGTTGCAGTTTAAAAACTGTAGTGTAAAGCACCCTTCTGGCAAGACAGTGATGGAGTGAATGATGGTGAAAGTTTTTCTTTTTTGGGCCACCCTGCCTTGGTGGGAATCGGCCAGTGTGATAATAAAAAATAAAATTACAAAACAGTAAATCTTCTATTTTTTGGTTTGAATAAAAATTCATTATGAATAAAAAATCAAAATGGAATTTATTTGTAAAGCCTGAAAACATAACTAATGAATAGAGGAAATGTTAGTTTAGTGCCAGGAATGTCTGCATTTTTTATTCTAGGCCCTATTTTGAAATTTTGAGTTTCAAACTTTCTTCATTCCAGAAGGTTGTTGAAGTGCTGATACCAAACGAATTTGTTCCCATAAGGAATAATGTAAATTAAATTAATCCATTTCAGACCCCCAAAAATACACTTACAAAAGCACTTCCAATAATTCACTTACATAACTGGTTGAGTTCGGAGCAGTTTGAAACTTGGGGTACCACTGTATGTATTTTGAACTTTGCATTAAATTGGCCAAATTACCAATTTCCAATAACTTTATTTTGTAGTTGAAACAGTTGACTTGGCAATTTCTTGTGCTCAATCGATAGAATAGATGTAATACTAGTGAAATAGCTAAGAATTTGGTCGACTGGAATAATGTAATTGGCCTAAAATGGGAGTCAAAGTCTGTAAAATTGCTGATGTGTAAATGTCACTGACACATCAAAATTTGCAAGAGCATAATTTCGTCAATTTTCCATCAAATTTCATACTTTTTGTTATATTACCTTCAGAAAAAGATTCTCTACCATTTCATAAGAAAAAATAATTTTTTTTTTTTAAATTCTTGGACCCTGGTGCACACTTTGAAATTTGACCTCTGGACCCTGAAAGGGTTAAATCATAAATATTTGATACTTAAATTTATTCTACACCAAATAGTTTGGTGGATATAATTGGTTTTTCACAAAGCAGATAATGGTGAGCTAGTAACACTGTGCACATTTTAAACACCAAAAAGTATATAAACCCTTGCAAAGTTTTATCTAATATTTGAATTTAAACATGTTTTTCTAATCCTGAATGCAGCAATATGAAAAATACAGTGGAATCTCTAATTACGAGTGCATCCATGTGCGAGTTTTCCCAGATATGAGCAGTCGCTTGGTAAATGTTTTGCTTCCAGATGCGAGTGAAATTTCCAGATGCGAGCGGGCCTCAAGGGAGGGTCCTTGACGCTGGTGAGGGGCTCTTGCTTTTGATCTAGGGAATTGGATCTCAGTTGTTTGTTGCACTATCTTATTGAAACTTGGGCAATGTATGATGGAAAGATGTTTCTTAACGTACACCAAAAATGAAAGAAATCAGACCATAAATAACGGAGTTCACTTCTCAACCATTTGATAGAATGGAAGATATATTAAAGAAATAGATATGATTTTGATTGATTTCACAACGAAAAGTACCTCGAAACTGAGCTCAAATTAGCAGAAATGTTTGATTCTTTGGCGATGTTCAAGAGTAAACAATGTCCATTCCAGTATGCAGTCATGAATGGGTTGACATTATTTATACAATTATTACAATAATGCAGTAGTCTGCAAAACAGTAAATCTTCTATTTTTTGTGTGAATAAAAATTACAAATTATTTATATAATAATAATAATAATAATAATAATAATAATAATAGTATCATATAATATAATAATATTATTAATAATAAAATAATATGTATAATAATAATGTACTATATAATAATAATTTTAATAATAGATGACTTCAAAAAGCCATCACTAGATGGCAGTGATTGCCACAACAATGCAGGAGTGGTTGTGGCCGCCTCCACTTATCACATAATGACATGTTTTATTCATTCTAGAGTATATGCATGTATCAGGTTTCTGTGTTATTTATATTGTTTAATATGTCATATTTGATGAATGTGATAGATTAATAAGCCGTATAGATGGTACTAGCGAAATATTGAAGTATCTTGTCGTGCCTCCTGTGTCCCGGAATGGATTAATTGCATTCAGTTAATTTAAATTAGGAAAATTGACTGCAAACCAGCAACTCCAGATGTGAGCAAGGTCATGGAATGGATTAAACTCCTAAGTAGAGGTTGCACTGTACATGTATAGTATAAAAAATTTATTTTGTAAAACTGTGAAAAAAAAGTAAAAAAATACAATTCTCCATATAATTTTGTATATTGTGTACTCTTGCTTAACATTTTCTTCAGGCACACTCATAAAAAATGCCGTGAGTTGTGGTGGCAAGGTCTTCCCTCGTGTGTGAGAGGAAAAGTCTGGAAGTTAGCCATAGGAAATGATTTGAATATCACTCCACAACTCTACAGCATAATGGTTCAAAGGTAAAGTAAACTTTTTTTCTTAGTAACAAATCTAATTTTAAAATTACTTTGTGCACGTTTTCACACAACACACCACTAACTCGTCACTTACAGTCTAGTTAGTCTTATTTTGTCTTCCTTTATAGTATGAACTCTAACTTCATGGGAGTCAAGTTCCTGAGTCTTCAAATACCACTAAATTTTGTTTGTAGGTTAACAATTATTGGTACTTATAGACTTTTTGAGAGAGAAGAAGATTTAGGCATTGAAATACAATGAGACAGTTAAGAAAAAGAGTCCTGTGGTACTTTTCATGAGGCCAAAACAGATTGCAGTGGTTAGCAAAGCTAACCACTGCAATTTAACCAACCAGCTAACCAACCAGTGGTTAGCTTTGCTAACCACTAATCCACTAACTAAAAATTAGCTCTGCTAACACTAAACTGCTAAACGAGTGAAAAAATTAGTGGAAGCTAACACTAGCCGCTAATTTTTTCACATGAATTCAGATTCTGTTTAGTTTTTTGATCTTTTACTTTTTTAAGACTTTTAGACCAGACCTGGGGAGCTTCCTAATAAGATATAGAATGCCAAGGTCATAGGATGATCAAGTGCTGCTAGTGCGAAAATAGCGATTGCTTAATTTTGTGATGTAACACGAGTGACTGACAAGGACACACTTGTTGCTATACTGAAGCCTCATAGCACATGAGCAGATTGAGTTAGCTTATTTGACTGTTCTCTTCATTAGTTCCAGTTACTCATTGTATTCATTCATTTTATTCTGTTTCTGTTCATGATTGCATTTAACTTAATTTAGATTTTGAACCCAATAAACTACAAACAAGTAGTTGAAAATCATACTTAGAGTTGAAACTTTGAGGCCAACTTATTGCTGCACCAGCGATACAGTCATACAGGTACACACAAATAGATAAATGAACAAATGAAATCAAACATCACTTTAAATCCAACATATACTTTATTTACTGTACAAAATGCATAGCATGAAGCAGAGGCCTGAGCGACCTCTGCTTCATCCACAGCTGCTGCAGACTCCTCAACAACACCTTCAGGTGGAACAGAAACGTTCCCCCTGTTCATAATGATAAGTAACAATGCACCCAGGTGGTCGCTGACACTGTAAGACTATAACATTGCTGCTCAGATGCTGCTGCTGCTGCTGCGTTGACAAGTCATGTTTACATGTAGTCAGCCAATAGCGTGCCTGACTGACTGTTGGCGAAACACCCACAAGAGAGAGGAACCAACACGTGCACCATTGAAAAGGGATTGCTTTCCAACTACCAACAATGTATGAATTTTTTTTAGTGGATTCAAAGTTAGCAGAACTTCATTTAGCAAAAGCTAATTGGTCCATTAATGTTTTTTGAAGTTAGCAGAAATGCTAATCTGCTAAACAAAAAGTTAGTTCTGCTAATTAGTGGTTAGCAAATTAGCAGAACTATGCCCACCACTGACAGATTGACACTATGAGAAAAATGTGAATAATCAAAACTTTTCATTGGAGGCCTTCATAAAAGTAACAGTAACAATAACAAATTTTATTTTAACATAACAGATATTTGTACAAAGGAGTGTATCAGTTTGGTGAACGTGCCAAAAGCCCCTTTATATGCAGGGCATTTCGGGGAAACTTAAGACTAACTTAAGATTCCTAAAGCAATAACAATGCACTCATTGTACATATGGTCATTAGGTGAGTTACAGTGAATACAAGAAAATTGAATAACCAACTAGTTTATGCTAGATAACAAAAAAAGGCACAATACCGTGACTGGAAGGATACACAAATAACCCGCACATAGAAGAGAGGAGCTTACGACAACGTTTTGTTCCAAGTCGGACCAAAATGTCATTGTAAGCTCCTCTCTTTTATGTGTAGTTTATGCTATGTGGCTTTAATAAGTTCGGTAAAGAAGAATTACAGTTTTGAAATAGTACAATGGACCCCCGGGTTACGTAATTAATCTGTTCCAGAGAGAGTGACTTATCCCGAATCTGACGTATTCCGAATTAATTTTCCCCATAAGAAATAATGGAAATCCAATTAATCCGTTTCAGACACCCAAAACTATTAAAAAAATGTTTTCTACGTGAAATATACATTTACCTACACAGAAAACAATGATACATGAAGAATAAAACAATAATAACATCACACTTAACTTTATTGAAGACAAGGTGATGTATGGAAGACTGGAGGAGGGGAGAGGATGGAGGAGTTTACAATTGTTTGGAAGGGGAATCCCCTTCCATAAAGACTTCAGGTACCAAGTCCTTATCCTGAGTTACTTCCCTCCTTTGTTTTTTAATGCCACTATGACCAGCTTGAGAGTCACTGGACCCCTGTCGCTGAAAAAAGTGTTCCAGAGAGGTCTGTTTCTGGTGTATGTTAGGAATTGTGTTGGGAGACAGGACAAAATAGTCCTTCAATATGACACTAATATCAGCTCTATGGCTTGTTTATCTAGCACAATTCATCTAATATGACATAATAAACAATATTAATAGCATAGAAACATGATATATACTCTATAATGAATAAAACATGGTATTAAGAATGTCACGAGTAGTGGTGTGTTTGTTGTTGGGTGTATAAGGGCCACTGAAAGATAAGCCTTACATAGTGGTGGTGAAAGCGGCAGCAGAGGCTGGTGTTAGTCAGTAGCCCTCTATACCTCCAACAACAATGGAGGAGTCAGTTTTGTGCTGTCCTTTTTCTGTCGATTAATCGCTTAATTGACTTGCTACACTCTTAATGCTACACTTTATTGCTGGCTGGCACTAAAGCCTTTATAGACTCCTGTTGCTTTAATATTGTACATATTACAGGATCACTGAAAAAGGCACATTCTCCCCTCTCAGCCCTTTATGAAAGGGCTGGCTGGCACTAGAAGCTTTCTTTGGGCCCATGGTGGCTTATTTAGCCGTTACAAGCACTAAAAAAAATGGAATAATGCAAAATGTATCATATGAATGCATGGGATCGTCCTCACTCACTGGTAAACAATGGCACACTGGCTGTACATGGAGTGTCGAAGCCGCTCAGGCCCTGACATGAATGCCTTTTACCGAATTCAGTGACGTTCACAAAAAACCGTTACTTATTCCGAATATTATTTATTCAGATGATGAATTAATCTGGGGTTCCACTGTATATAAAAAATACAGTACAGCCTCTCCTCACATAACGATGGAGTTTTCTTCCTAAGTCCACATTGGTAAACGAATTTGTTGCTAAGTGAGGAGCATATTGTCATGGCTGTGGGTTTTTGTCAAATATCTTTGATGTTGTTTTAATGTCATTTTTGCACCATTTATAACATTTCTGTTACATTTTTAAATGTTTATTCAGTAGTGTACCATACAGTAGGGCCCCACTTGTACAGCAGGTTAGGTTCCAGGCTACTGCTGGAAAGTGGACATCGCCAGAAAGCAGAACACCATTTGTTTCCACTTATAAATGTCAGATAATACGTTTACACTAACATATATTAAGTAAGCGATAGAACAAGGCATTAAAAAATAATAAAAAGTAAAATATACACAGTACACTCATTACTTACCTCAAAATATTGGTAGTCTTAATGTAGGGTGAGAAGTGAGTAGTGTTTATTGTAAGAAGTTAGGTGTGGTAGGTATGGTAGCCAGCCAAGCCACCCCACCCCACCCACACGTAATATACTTCAACATTTAAAGAACCCTAGAGCAATAAAATGCATATAAGGTACACTCATTACTTTTTTTTTTTTAACACATCGGCCGATTCCCACCAAGGCAGGGTGGCCCAAAAAAGAAATACTTCCATCATCATTCACTCCATCACTGTCTTGCCAGAGGGGTGCTTTACACTACAGTTATAAAACTGCAACATTAACACCCCTCCTTCAGAGTGTAGACACTGTTCTTCCCATCTCCAGGACTCAAGTCTGGCCTGTCGGTTTCCCTGAATCCCTTCATAAATGTTACTTTGCTCACACTCCAACAGCACTTCAAGTATTAAAAACCATTTGTCTCCATTCACTCCTATCAAATACGCTCACACATGCTTGCTGGAAGTCCAAGCCCCTCACACACAAAACCTCTTTTACCCCTTCCCTCCAACCCTTCCTAGGCCGACCCCTACCCTACCTTCCCTCCACTACAGATTTATACACTCTCGAAGTCATTCTGTTTTGTTCCATTCTCTCTACGTGTCCAAACCACCTCAATAACCCCTCCTCAGCCCTCTGGATAATAGTTTTGGTAATCCCACACCTTCTAATTTCCAAACTATGAATTCTCTGCATTATATTCACACCACACATTGCTCTCAGATATGACATCACTGTCTCCAGCCTCCTCCTCATTACAACATTCATCACCCATGCTTCACACCCATACAAGAGTGTTGGTACAACTGTACTCTCATACATTCCCCTCTTTGCTTTCATGGACAAAGTTATTTGTCTCCACAGACTCTTAAGTGCATCACTCACCCTTTTCCTCTCATCAGTTCTATGATTCACCTCATCCTTCATAGACCCATCTGCTGACACTTCCACTCCTAAATATCTGAATACATTCACCTCCTCCATACTCTCTCCCTCCAATCTGATATCCAATCTTTTGGCATCTATTCTTTTTATCCTCATCACCACGCTCTTTCCTCTATTCACTTTTAATTTTCTTCTTTTACATACCCTACCAAATTCATCCACCAGCCTCTGCAACTTCTCTTCAGAATCTCCCAAAAGCACAGTGTCATCAGCAAAGAGCAACTGTGAGAACTCCCACTTTGTGTTTGATTCTTTATCTTTTAACTCCACACCTCTTGCCAAGACCCTTGCATTCACTTCTCATACAACCCCATCTATAAATATATTGAACAACCACGGTGACATCACACATCCTTGTCTAAGGCCTACTTTTACTGGGAAATAATCTCCCTCTCTCCTACATACTCTAACCTGAGCCTCACTATCCTCATAAAAGCTCTCCATTGCTTTCAATACCCT